CCCCAAAACCCCAAAACCCCAAAACCCCAAAACCCCAAAACCCCAAAACCCCAGGGGTTTGCATAAATATTGAGCTTGGAGATATAATTAAAAACTATACTCACCCTCTAAACTGCTCTATCTAATGGAAATCTGGAATTATGAACATGACATTGCAGACAACATCAACCTCTTTGAGTTCCCTTATGAACCTTGTGATGAACAATTTAATTGTAAGTTCTCTCCTGACTGCCTTGATTCACCACCACCAAATAGTTTTTGCCAAAGTAGCATTTCATCAGAAACCTAGAGTTATTTACAAAGTTTTTGGAAATTTTGTAACTACGAAATTTCTTGGGTTAAACACAGCCTCTAATAAGTTATTTATAGACTTCAACTATCAAATGTTGCAAGATGAACTTTGAAAGGACTCAACTGAGTCCTCAAAGGAACAAAATATTGAGATTTCTGAGACCAGAAAGAAAAATGATGCAGATGATATCTCAGAAGATTCAAACTTCCTTAAGACAGTAGAAGAGATTGTCAGAAGTGAGATAGAAGCCAAGGGACTTGATGCTGTGGTCCAGGAGTGCTCTAATCACTGCTTCTTGGGTAAGAGCAAGCCCAAGAACCCGAAGGTTAAGAGATATGTAAGGGACAGAAGCGACAAGACTCCTCTGCAAGTCCAAGCGATGGTGGATGCTCTTGCACCAGGCCAAAAGCAATTAGTTAAGTCTAAAAGAGTCAAGCTGGGCAAGAAGATCGGACTGTCTGAGAGCCAGATCTATAAGTGGTACTATGACACTTATAGCAGGGCTGTATAAGCTAATCCATAGGAATTCGCCCAGCTTCAGCTGTGAAGTTCGGGCGATATATTAATTTTAGTCATAATAACTTTAGTTCTTCTAACTCATTTCTTCATTTTGATTGGGCGTTTCGAAGGATTTTCGAAAATCTTGAACTAAAGAGGGAGGGAAATTTTTTCAAAATATTTGCATTATGGTTCATCAAGGTTTATCTATGAGCCATCATTATGCTCATTAAAGTTGCTAGTTACAACTTTTCACACTGGATACCTGAATGGTCTTCAAATTATCCTATCAGAAAGAAAAACATTAATATTTTTAAGAGTGTCGAAGACCTTTTGGGTCCCATACGTTTCAGATATTCTTCAAGATATCCGATATCAGTCTGGTTCTGATGCCTTTAAGAGACATACTTCCCGAAAATGGATCATTTTTGAGAAATTTTTATGACAACTGGTAGGGAAGAATCTGATGACATCAGATTGTTCTTCTAGTCTCGTCAATGTGGCTATGAGCAAGGCTAGAGGATCTCAGTTTGCTAAAAAGCATTAATGGAGGACAGCAAATACTTCTTTCAACCGTTTCATTAATCTCAGGTCAGGGATGAGGGTCATTTGTTCGGGTCTTCACTTTTTGCAGTAAAATTTCTTTCTGGTATTATCCGAAAACCCAAACAATTCTGAAGTTCAGATGAAATCTGGGATTTTGCAAAAATAACCAAGTTGGTGAACTTTAGAATAAGACTTAGAGCCTGCATACATCTCTCAGGCTCTCTGGCTTATTTGCAGGCTCTGTTGGGCAAGGTTTCGATCTTTGTCCTGAGGACAAATCAAGATCTATCACTTATGGCATCAGGTTTTATTGAGCCATCAGGATTGAATTAGAGAATTACTTTGAGAGCTGCATCGTTTATGTACTCTAATCCTTTTGCACCCCCTCTAAACTTCGGGTAATGAGTGATGCAGAATTTTTAGACCGGGTATACAAGAAAATTGGTAGACAGATGTCATTTCTAACTTGACTGCACTTGGAAAACTAGGAATTTAAAAGCACACTCCTAAATTCCTTCGAAACAAGTTAGCTAATAAGTTTCAGCAGCAAAGACTATTTGCTGTTTATAGCACTTTTTCCAGAACTATCAACTATTTTTGTAACTCCTCAAAGGTAAATTTTCACAATTTAACTATAAGAAAAGTTTCAAAGTAAATTTACCTTAAGAGGTCAATAGTGAAATTCTATATCGGTGATTCTCACCGTAATGGACACTTTGTATATGAATTTTGGCTGAAAAATACCAATAGTGAGGAGCTTGATCATCAGCTTATACTTTATCTTACAAAGAATCCCAGAAAACTTATATATTTTGAATCGAACTACTTAGATCTTTAATCATCCTTCTCAATTAGGTTTGATCTAGAGGGGTTTTGGGGTTTTGGGGTTTTGGGGTTTTGGGG